AAAAAAAAAAAAAGATTTACAGTCTCAGAACCTCGTCTGCTCTGTCCTCTGGGGACACTATGTGTCGGAGTGAACTCAGTGGCAGGAATTTGTTTTTGTTTTGTTATTTAAGGTTCAAGAAGGAATCCTAGTGACACAGTGGTATAGGACTTGACCCTCTACTCCCATAAAGATTACAGCCCAAGAAACCTTATTGGACAGTTCTACTGAGCCCTACAGGGAGTCTATGAGTCAGGATCAAACAGCCAACTAGATGTGATGAGCTCTAGTTAGCGGAAGTTAAAAGTCCCTCCCAGGAAAGGCTGAGTGATCTATATCAAGAGGTGGAAATCTAAAACCAAAAAAGTCAAACTTCTCACAATTGGTTACAGCGGCTGGCCATTGCCCAAATGTGTCACATAGATGGAACAAAGCAAAATGTAATGATAATATGAGGGGCTGCTATGAGTCCAATAAAGTTTTCAAAATAGATTCTTTTACCTTATAAGCTACTTTTGATTCATCATAGAAATCAGCAGAGTGGGAAGGCTGTTTACCGATGGTAAGACTTGTGTAGCTAAGGAAGAAAAGTCCATAATGGTGACTTCAGGATTTTGCAATTTTGAACATTATTATATATTTTTTTAAATTCAAAGCAAACAAAATAAATGTCTGAAAACATCTTACCCATATCCAGTTCCTTTCTTTCCTGGGTTTGTGTATAAATTCTTTCTAGGTGCAAGGTACTGTTCTCTGGGTTTTAACTGTGCACTGAAGAACTGGACTGGGCCGCCTATTGTTCCATAGTAACTTCCAAATCCACACCTAAGACATAATTTGTTGTTTTTAATAATGGCACAAAAAGGGGAGAATATTTGCAATGAAATAAACTGGTCTGACTTTGGTTAAAGACAAAAGACTTTTTGTTTTTAATCTAATTTCTACTCCCCTAGTTTTTGAAGTCAGAAATCTCCAGATTAATAGGTTTTCATTTTTTATGCTTCTTTCAGATGTTGCAAATGAACAAAGTGCTATGGTTCTGAGGAAGGTAAAATGGGTTCCAAGAATCCAGTGAACTATAACCATAATAGGCCCATCTGTGTTTTGGGAAGAATTTCTAGGCACTTCATGACAGGTTAGCTAATAAATGGATAATTTTCTGACTATCTATTCATTAGAAACCACACTTCCAAAATATCTATTAAAAAATATTATTTCTACTGCTGACGGCAAAGTGGATCTCTTGGAATTTTGTTGTAAAAGTTCTTCTTACTTGTTATGTATGCTCACTACTACTTCACTGAAAAGTAACCAAATGTTATCGTTTGTTTAATTTTAATGAAAAAAAATTTAGTTCATAGTATGTATGTAATTACTAAACTGTTTACCATTCAGCATTTTATTTAAACAAATGTTTTCTTTTAAATTTTCACAGTAAAAATAACAACAGTTAGGGTCACAATCTCTAATTTCTACATTATCATTGAAGTTCATTATCTTAAATAATCAGGAAATGGCCAAAATACCAATGAAGTATTATTATATTAAAAACTTGATCTTTTTTATATGTTTGAGTCAAAAATTTCAAAATTTCCCCTGGCCCTGGCTCAACTAAGAGGGAATATTCATTTGCATTCCTGGGTATTTATGAACATGTTGTAAAACCCTAAAAATACAGTAAGAAAATACAGTAATGATATTGCAGAGGAAAAGATATTTACGTGTACATGGCATTTAATGAGAAGATAATTTAATATAAGCCTTCGAAAGGACTTGGTGCACTTGCTGATGATGAGCAAAGACTCCAGCATGAACTGCAACTCAACGGAGAGAAAACCAAATTCCTCACAACTGAACCAATAGATACCATGATGAGCAGACGAACGCTGTCAGAGATGTCACTGGGCTTTGGTCCACAATCAATGCTCGCAGGAGCAGAAGTCCAGAAACCAAATGACACACTGCATGAGTGAATCTGCTGCACATGACTCCTTCAAAGGGTGGAAAAGCAAGCATGTGCCTTTGCGACTTAACAGCAATGACAGTGATGGCACAGCACCGGCAGTGTTTCCGTCTATTGTACATCAGTGCTGTACGGAGGAACGGACTTGATGGAACCTCACAACAACAACAACAACAACAACAATACTCACATTGCCCTTGAGAACTGACTAAATGCCTGTAACTTATTGTTAAATAAGTGCAGTTATGAGGGCTTTTCTTTTATACCATTACTATCTCCTTTTGGAAATATTTTCTGTAGCTCAATAAGTTATAAATTCTCCCACATATCTGTGAGCTTTGAAAATGATAAAAGTGTTACTAATTTCTTGGTTAACAAATGGAACTAAGCATATTGTAAACAAATGTATCAGAGCATTTCAGTTATAAACTCCTCTGAGTTTATATCTAGGGAAATAATGGAGAAGCCCAAGAAATAAAAATATGTAGTTCATATCTGTCTGAAGTGTGAAAAAGTTAAAATCCTAAGGACAAGAGCAAAGGAAAGTACCCACTCAAACCTTGTGAGGAGCCCTGGTCACAGGATGGGCTACACATTTTTCTTCATATGTCATTGATTGCAACCCCAACAATATCACTGCTCCCACTTCCACCCTGTGTTTCTTTTTCCCACATCTCCTTTTTCCCTAACCCTTCTAACTCTGTCCTTGGGTAAATGCTACCCCCCTTTTACTCTCAAATGGTTGATTATTCGAGGTTCTGCATATTGCCCTACTCTTCTGGGGAACGTTTGGCTCAGGGTTGACAGAAGGCCCATGAAATGACCACTACCAGCTAACATCACCCGCCTCCCTGGCTGTTCCAGCCATCACATTAGGGGGAGTTCATTGAATATGTGACCAAATGTAGCAGGCCAAGTTTTAATTCGATAAATTTGTATGACCTTTGAATGACGTTATAAATATCCAAATGGCCCATGACAGAAAAGTTTCCCACCCTGGGCCACAGACCTATTGTTTGCTTGGCAATGGAGCCAGGAGAGAGTTCATTTCTGAACTGTGACTTATACTTTTTTGTTCCTCACTTCCTTCAAAATTGCCTTGTTTTGTGCTTAACCGACTAGTTGTAGTGAACTGTTTTGATTGCTGTGCGTGTTTTAGCTATTTCCTTTGTGATTATCATAGGGTTGCCACTTACCATGCTACAAGTATAATACCCTACTTTGAATCTGCACCAAATTAAGTTCAGTAACATGACAGAATGCAAGTCCTCAGGTTGTTGTCGCCACAAATTACATCTTAATACACTGTCAAGTAACAAATGGCTAATTATTTTTGTGTGGTTTCTTTTAAATCATTTAGGATATAACAAGTAGAATTACAAGCCAAAAACATTATGCAACTGGCCTTTGTATTTGCCCATAAAACTACCGAACATTTTCTGCCTGTGGTTTTGGGTTGCTGCCTACTGGTATCCTTTCACGTCTATCTGAAGGGTTACCTTTAACAATTCTTGTAAAGCAAGTCTACTACTACCCAGTTCGCTCAGCCTTTGTTTACCTGAAATGCTTTAATTTCACTCTCATCTTTGAAAGACAGTTTTGTTAGATACAGAATTCTTGGTTAAAAATTATTTTCTTTCAGTTATTTTAAATATGCCAGCCTATGCCTTCTGGTCACCATGGTTTCTAAGGAGTAATTGATGCTCAGGAATCCCTCTTTGTAGGTAATGCTCACAGAATTGACTATCTCTGGTCTTTTTTAAGAGCTTGACTACAGCATGTCTCAATATGGCTTTGGGTTTATCCTACTTGAAATGTTCTGAGTTTCTTGGATTTTTAGACCTAGTCTTCAACCGCAGATTTGATTGGGCAGAAGATACAACCAGAATCATAAAAATCGTGTAAGAAAAACTGAATCTCAGGAACAGAAATGAAAGAGAGAGAATGAAGTGAATAAAGTCTAAGTGACTTGTGGGGTCACTATCAAGTGGACAACCATATGCACTACAGGAGCCCCAGAAAAGAAGAGAGAACAAGGAGGAAATATATTTGAAAAAAAAAATAGTTGTTGAAAACTTCCCAAAAAAGAAAAAAGAAAACTTCCCATTAAAATCTGCTGTTGAACCCCTCTTGTGAATTATTTATTCAGTAACAGATATGTGCCACTTAACATCCATGAAACATCTGTGAAATAGATTGTTACATGATTTGGATGTTGTATAAACACCATATTAAAATATTATGGAAGACCCATTCAGTTGTCCTCACCACCACTTTTGCAGCTGCTTCTGAAGCTGTTGGAGGATGAAGGAATGGGTGATAGCAGTGGCAATGGCTGAGAAAGCAGCAATGGAGAGAACAGAGTGAGAGGAAATGAACAGAAAGGGAGTGGAGCACACCAATCCCCACCCACTTTTATACCTGTTTGAATAATAAGAGCAGTCAGGGTCCCCTAGCCCAGGACACCAATGCCCACCTGCCCACCTTTGGTAGTTACATAATCTACTGTCAACTTGAGGAAGGGGTGGAGTCTAGCCTGTCAATTAGGTCGCAACTTGATGACCTCATTTTGAGGCACAAGAGAGATAAATAGCTCACTGGAGGCCAGACACACTCTCCCTCTGCTTGTCTTCCTGTGAGACATTCCTGTTACAAGGCACATGGAGCTATGCTGATGGAGCCAGAGTGCTGGACCTGGAGGAGCAACGTGGAGACCCACACCAGCACTGAGATGCTTCCACCACCACTGGATCCACAAGACTTTCCACCC